TTTTCCATTATCCCAATATAATGTGTAGCTGCACCACCGCCCCCAAAGTTCAAACCTTTCACACCGCCTCCTTCCGAGTTCCCATACTCGCAGAGACTGCCATCGCGGAAGCGGAACCAAACCTTCAGCGAGATTCTCAAGTGATGTCTTCCAAGCAGCTCGTCACCCTGTCAAGCCTTATCCACTGCATGTCCGACTCTACCACCCAAAGATGCCACGGCTGCGGGCTCCTCATGTGGGCTTTATGACCAACGACTACACGATGACCTTTTATGCTTTGTACTCTGCTGATGCAATCCGCTGATGCTCTTTGTTCGACAAGAGGCCTATGACAATATGGCTTGCTCTGCTGCATAACGTGCATTGGTCTGCAGACGTCTCCTCGGGGGATATCTTCCGAAGGTGGATGCCCATGAGCCGATGTCCTCGCATGCCCAGAGACTTGAAAAATCCCCCACACCGCAAACCGTTATCCTTGAAATTGAAGGCCAACAATCTGGCTCCCGGAAGGGGCCAGGAAGCATCGACGCTTCCGTGCTTGCGAGCCCTGCCGCATACAAACGCAGAATCTGGAGACGTACACATGTGGGGTTTCCCAAAATTGAGGATAAATTTTTGGGTGTCCCTATAGAAAAGACTGTAGTATTTTGTCAGGGTCCGCTTATTTTGGGCAACACAAGCAATCTGATTGAATCCTTGCCTGCAATGCCAAAACATCTCCTCGGGATGTGTTGAAGATAATGGCCAGGCCCAAGAAGTCATGCCTCTCCTGCCGGTTTTTGAGGGGTGTAGGGGTATAGGTTGTTTTTCACCCGTGGACTTCAGGGTTTACGGTTTAGGGCTCAGGGTCTGGGGGTTTAGGGTGCACGGAGAATCCCTAAGAAGTCGAGGCGAAGATCACAACATAAATGAACGGAACCCAATGTAGACCCCAACATACTATAATCCTTATTGCGGGGACCTCAAAACGGCATCCCTAATTTTGGGGAACCCCAAACCCTAAACCATATATCTCCTATATAAGCCCTATATATTCCCTAAAACCCTAAACCCTTTAAAGGGTAACCCCAATTTTGGGAAAACACCCCCCTGTCTCCTCCTGTAACACGGAGACGAGCCTCTCGTCTGGCCTTAAGTGGTCAAAACAAACAAAACCGTGGTTTAGGGTTTAGGGATTAAGGTTTTTGGATTTAGGGTTTAGGCTGTAGGTTTTAGGGTTTATATGAGCTACCGTTTAAACTCCTGGTCTCGTATTATCCCCCTGAATAACTCCCAAGTGAATCCCCTATATAATTCCCTATATAACCCCCCTTGAAGGTTCAGACCATAGCTCACTTAGTTTTACATGGGGTATTATGTAGGAATTACTTAGGGATTATATGGGGGCTTGTATAGAATCTCTCCATGGAGTCCCCTCACCCCCGGCCTCAGCTTCCATTGATGCTCAATGTCACCTCCCACGCCTTGAGAGTGCAGGGGCAGGGGTGTTTCCCAACAATAGGGGCACCTTTTAGAGGGGTTTATGAGGGCTATATGAACATACATATATATATATATGTACATTTGCATATAGGACATATCTACTAGCTTGCAGTCAAAGCAATCGTGTCAAATCAAGAAGGTGCGTTCATGCAGCAGGAAAGGGATCAGCTCAATTCGGCAAGCCGCTCCCAAAAGATAGTGCGGTTCCATTGACCAACTTCATCTGCATGTTGTCAACAGCATAACCTGTACCTTAGACAACGGAGGTCCTATCAACCATTCTTCCACCATTCCAGCAAACACACCTCACAAATCGATGTGGTAGTTTCCCAAAATAGGGGGACCCCAATATAGACCCCAAAATACTATAATCAAATTTATAGGGACCCCCAAAAGGGTACCCCTAATTTTGGAAACCCTCCATATATCCAGGTTGCAGCCGATGATTTCTTGAATTACGCCTCGAGGAGCTCCGTCTTTGGGAGACAGCCCTTCGGTCACTGTCACCTGTCAGGGTTTAGGGTTTAGGGTTTTTTTTGCAACGGCCTTTAGGGTTTAGGGTTTAGGGTTTAGCCGGCAGCTAAGGCTACAGGTCATGGCAGAAACGAACTCAGCGTACGGCTTGACAGCTGCCTTGTGGGTGTCGTTCACTTGGACACCACTGCAGCTGGAGAACCAAGCATGATGCAGGCAGTCCACATGGGTTAACCTGTCAAAGTGACGGATGGAGCAGACGTCGACTTCAACATTTAGCTTCTCAAATCCCTATATAACCCCAATATGATAGCAGTTTCCATTTCATTTTCCATTATCCCCATATAACCCCAATATACTATAGTAGTTTCCATTTTCTCTTCCATTATCCCAATATTACCCCAATGTATACCCTATAATCCCTGTATCACCCCTATATAACCCCTATAACCTTTGTAGTTTCCATCGTCTTTTCCATTATCCCAATACCCAATGTACTCAAATATCTCCAAATCAACTCCGGCCTGGCGGAGGCGTTGATGCTGAGTAAGCCCTGCACCAGTGAGCGAACCTGAACCAATGAAACTACTATAGTATATTGGGGTTATATGGGGCTAATGGAAAATGAAATGGAAACTACTATAATATTGGGGTTGTATAGGGATTTGAGAAGCAATGGGATTTACGGATGGCAGGTGTGCACACAGGTTGTTTTTCTCCAAGTTTATCTTGCCACGTCACCTCCTTTGTGGCATTCTGCCACGATCGGCCAGCTTTCACAGAAGAAACAACCTGCACAGTCAAAAGGAAAAGGGCATGAAGATACAATTCAGAAGATTGCACATGCCGCTTTTTCACCGACAATGCTCCCTTGCAACAGCAAAATCGTCATATGCCCCAAAGGCCTCTCTGTGGCGCTCAGGCACCAAGTCTTTGTTGGACCTGTCGTGAAGGCAACATGCACGTGTGCCTGAACCTTCGCTCATACTTCGCATTGTGCCTGATGGTGAACGGCCATTCACCACAAATCATGGCGTAGATCATCACGCCGAAGCTCCAGTAATCACACGACTGCAGGACAATTATCATCACAGCCATTTGTCAACCTCTCACAACACAAACCCAACCCGAGAGTCCTGGTCGCACATGCCAGACAAGACCTTCAAAGGGCACTGACAGGCACATGACCAGAGGCCAGCTTCACTGCACTTTGCACCTCTGGTGCGACAAAATCCGGAGACCCCACAGCAGTCGCACGTCGCAAGAGAGGCGCACTATGCCTCAACAGGGTGGATTTAGCTTCCCGTGTACAAATCCAGCATATGTGCAGGCTGCTGTTGCGACCAGGTTGCATGTTCTTTGAGAGCCCAAAATCTGTAATCTTCACCTATGCTCAAAAGTCAGGAAAGTGCTTGAAGGCCCCCCTCAAAGTCTGAAGCCAAGAATCGTCGTGCACCTCAGATGGGGTCGGAATGCCTTCTTCTGGAGGTCCCTGGTACGCATAGGTGCGCACGATCAGCCTGACCGGTCAGCTTTGTCCTTCTCTGGGATAACAGACATACCGCGGCCAAGGTGCACATTCTCCAGCTTCATATCACGATGGATGATGCCAAAAGAATGCATGTATGCCATACCTGCAGCGCCATTGAACACACCAAGCAGTGCTTCAAGGAACACAAGGAGCCTTCGAGGAGTTGATGTGCCACGTGCTTGGAAGCCAGCTCAGACTGCCCAAGCCCAGGAAAATGCTCATCGCCTCCACTATACGAAATTTTCAGACCAAAGCTCATCGGAGACGGCGTTTTTTCTTGGGGGAACAACACCAACAACAGCAGCCGCGAAAACTAGTGCATAAGCACAGCACCTGAGGTTATGAAGCCTATGAGACAGGACCAATTACGTAAATGGATTTGGCCCAGCATTCAAACAGCCTGTGCCGGAGTCACATCATCCGCCC